CCTGGCACTGCCTGCCGGGGCTAGCCCCTTCCTCCCTGCACCCCTGTCCCGGCTGCCCGCGGTGCAACGTTCCCACTCAGCCGTGCCAGCTCTCCCTGGTGAGGACTGTGCATGGGTGCCAGCCCCCCATGGCACCGCCAGCACCTGCTCACCGCGCCAGCACACTGAACAAACAGAGCCTGGGCAGCTTTGGGGCCGAGCCACCTCGTGAGCCAGAGCAAGGCTGCACAGAGCCACTGGAACCGCAGTGGCTCTCGAGCAGAGCTGCCCACTCCCCGGCGAAGGATGGGCTCAGCACTGTCCCCCCACCGCAGCCCCAAAGTCCTGGCAACTGCCTGTGCCCGGCCGCACGCAGGTAAAGCAGGGTGCAGCTCCCAGCACCCTCCCAGGGGCTCCTGCCATCCCCTCAACCAGAGGCTGTGGCATTGCCTAGAGCCAGCTCAGAGCCCAGCGGCCTCCAGCAGGTCCCTGGTCTGGGGGGGTTTCCCTTCTCCAGATGACCCCCCCCAGAGGTTGGCATTCCCAGCCACGCTTCGCATGCTGCTGCCAGTGCCAACATGCTGCCAGCCTGGACGGGAGCACTCAGGCTGCCCGGAGCAGGCAGACAGCAGGACAGCAGCATGGATGGAAAACCCTAAAAACCATCAGCTCGCAGAGCTGCAGCCCCCCATCCCCTAACGGGGCGGCAGGGATTGCGGCAGTACATCGACACCTTCCCATGCCTCCTGCCAATGAGCGAGGTTACAGCTAACTTCAAAGGCTCTTCCAAACATCTGCACACCGTAGAAGCAGAGCTCTGCAGCTACATCTCTGGAAGCCCTTCAGAAACACAGCGGCCACGTATTCAGTCTCGGCCATGTATTGTTTCAGGATCTTTATATAAAATGCTACATTAAAATAACTGCCTTCTCCCTAGAAAACAATTAGAAGATAATAAATCAGGGGGAAACAAAAAAGTGACTGATCTTTCCTAAATCAACAGCTACATAAAATATTTCCCCCAGAGAGAGAGAGAACTTACAACTTCGATCGCAGCAAGATCTCAGTTGTCCTTTTTTTGTCTTTAAGACAATATTTGCCATTTAACACCCTCAAATACACCAGTCTCACCCCCTTTTCCCTTCCAAACACCCTCCCTTGCAAGCCTTAGCCGGGTCCCCTTGATGTGATCTTGCGATCCCGTGGCCATCGCCTGCTGTAATCCCCAACCAGAGGGCTGGACTCATAACAAAAAGCCCAACCAACTCCGAAGCACTGAGAAGCCCCCCAAAATGCTGCCAGTCCCCCCCGCCATGCTCCTTCCAGCCTTCAACTCCCTCTGAAGAGCACAGCACTGAGACAGGCACACACAACCACCAGCGACACTGCAGGACACCGCACAGCATCACCCGCCCAGGGAGCTGGGATATGCCTCAGCTTCGAAGCAAGCAGTTTTTTTGTTTGTTTGTTTGTTTTTAAAAAACATGGCCATCACTTGGCCCCACCACCAGTGCACACTGGACCGTCACTTCGGGCAGTGTCTGTCCCCACCACCGCTGCAAGAGCAGCATCCCCTCTGCAGGGAGAAAGAGCCCATCCCCACAGGAGGGCACGGGCTTGGAAACCTGCTGTTGTCTGGGGAGCCTAGCCAGGAGCAGGCACCGCTTTCTTACCTCCCGACTTTCTGCAAGGGAGACACATGGCTTCCCGGTCTCCCTGGAGACCTGGAGCTGCTGCACTCCTGATCCCTGGCCGCCGGCGCCTGGCTTCAGCTCCCCGGGCC